CAAAGCATCCGCGGACAGAGAATCAGTGCAAACAAAGCCCAATACCAGGAAATGATTTATCACCATATAGGCCAAACCTGTGACGGAATGAGCAGAAGCGGATTGCCGTACATTTTAATTTAGGCTTTTTGCATAACACGTGAAACTACATTCAAGGTTTTTGGTAGGAAGGGGAAGGATGAGGGTGATAAAAAGTGTTTGGATTTCCCCACAGAGACAGGTATACAAATCAGCAGTCAGGCAGCTACATTACCAGTGACTTGGCTACACTGATGGGAAACACCTAGGGCAACAGCAGTGATTACAAAGAAAACACCTAATTGCATTTTGGACAAGTGCGGTGAGGGTAATGAGGCAGGATGCAGGACAAAAGTGGATGAAGACTGGGAGAGCTGGGGAGGCAGCAGGAAGGCAACAGCCACCCTGACACCAATCAAAGGGAAGCATCCAGGATCACAGGACTGGGAATTCCAGTTAAGTGTCAATACATTTCATAGAAACACAGAATGGTTTGGGTTGGAAGAGACCTTAAAGCTCATCTAGTTCCAACCCCCTGCCACAGGCAGGGACACCTTCCACTAGACCAGGCTGCTCAGCTTGTTTCATACAGAAGTTTGCAGTGATACTCTCTCACGACTTCGTAATTTTTGTATTTTAGGGATAAACTCTCTATGCAATTCCCTCTTTCAATTCCCTCTGTTGCCTTTCAACTGAAATTGTCTCTCAATTTCCTGTTTCTTTTCCTCAGACTTAATCAGATTAGTTTGTTTTTAAATCTCCTGCCATTAAACGTGGATGTTGCTACACGAGACTCCTTACAGCATTTTAAAATGTTATAACATGAACTTTACCATTTTTTTCTGTAACTGCTTCATTAGCAGCCAAGAATTAGGAAAACATTGAGAAAAAATATCCTCATCTACCACAGAATGATGTTTAAAAAAAAAGGGGGGGGGGAGGACATAAAGAGATTTTACATTTAAGAAATTAGTTGGTCTTCACTAAACTTCCTCATTTATCTCGGTTTTTTGGTGTTTTTTTAATATAGAACAATCATTTGTTGGGACATGGTGGACAGCCCTCGCAGGAGCCTCGTTCAGCGGGTACGTGCAGCTCGGTTGCCATCACTCAGCCCTCTTACACCCCGGCGGCGCCCCCCGGCAGTATTTAACCCCAAGAGCCGGCGGGACGGGCAGCGGAGCCCGCCGGGCCCCTCGGCCTGCGCCGCCCGGTACCGCGCCAGGGCTCGCTCAGCCGCGCGCTGCCGGGGCCGGCGCGGGCTCTGAGGGGGCGCGAGAGCAGCCGCTACCGCGGCCCTCGCCTCGGCAACGGGCGCCCCCGCGCGCTCAACGGCCGCCGCACTCGCCCGGCCATGAGGGACGGCTGCGGGTCCCACCGGCGGGCTACGTCAGCGGAAGCAGCCTCCTCGAAGCGCGGGACGCCGTTGCCATGGCGAGGGGAGGCCGGGCCAGCGCCGCTCCCCCGAGCGCTCTGCAGGGCGGCCGCCACCAGCGCCTCCCGCACCTGCACGGCGCCGCCCCGGCCTGCCTGCCGGGAGCCTCAGTGGTGCCGGTGGCTGGATTGAGCGCAGGAGCGGCCGCAGCACTGCCGCCAGGAGTCAGCTGGGAAAATGGCGGCATGAAACACAACTGTTAAAAGCTCCACCCCAAACCCAACGTTCGATTTATGCCTTCGGACGGTTATTTCCGGCGTCCTGTGCCTGCCTCAGCGCGGGTATGTTATAAATGAGGCTCTGCTATGCTAAAACCCCAAAACTCACACAATAGCCAAGCTGGCCTTCGGCAGAGCAGACCGTAGCCAGTGACGCCTGCACGCTTCTCACACTACTTTTTGTACTCAAGACTACAAGATACGGAAGAATTACTTAAGACATTACATACTAAAGAACTGACAGTGGTGTCTATGTCACTTGTCTGCTGCCACGTGGGCACAAAGTACTTCAGCATAAAAAGAGCCTTTCACTGTTTTTATGACCTGGTTAGCATTAGGTTATTGACATCAGGGAGTAACTGCATTCCTTATTTTGCAGTATCATGCAATTTACCTCTGAGGATAAAAATACAGTTTAGCTTTGGCAATAGATAAATGGCACATATTGGGAAACAGTGGTCCCAGCAGCCAATGAAATAAAGTTCACATACTCTTACCTCAGTATTTTACAAACCGGCCATTTAAGTTACAGTTCTTCACAACAGGCAGTACCACTGGCTAAGATGCAATTCATGTCACCTTTACTGTAAAAGCCCTCTAAATTTCACTAGTGCCCAACACTGTTACTTCATTAACTAGGATCAAATCACACATACTAGAGGGGCAACTTGCAACCATCAGCAACAATTCAAAACTTACAGAAGTCAGCATAAAAAAAAATAAAAATGTGTCTATATGTTTTTGGTCTGGCGCTTAAAACAAGAGCTAGCTCACTAGGCTTTAAGTAATCACTTCATCTTTAGCACTAAAGATTCTGGCTTTGACTTGCAGGGTCAAGCCATTTGCAACTGAATTCCTATATTGATGTTCTAACTAAACAAGCAATACTTTATGTAGTGTTTTTCAGACAAATACATCAGAAATTCATGTAGTGCAGTTCTGGAGCTGTGCTGTTGCTTTCTATTAGCTGTAAGGAAGGCTGAAGCTAGCTGGCACCGCTTCTGTCCCACACATGGTAACTACAGTTGTGTACCCTACTTGAAGAAGATATTGACTGCAAGTTAATGAACACTTACTGTATTATTTTAGTCATTAGGAAACAGTTCCAGTACATTACTGCTGTTACGAATCCTTAAAAGCACACCAGCTTGGAATCGCCATCTGTCAGGCCATAAACAGTGACAAGAAGCTTTAACAGCTTTTAGCCTAAAGCAATCTATCCAGCTAGTGTGCCACATGGACACCACCCTCCTGCTACAATTGCTATGAATTAGCGACATTCAGAATTCATGCATGCAAGCCCAATTTCACCCTATCATGGAAGTCAGCCTAATCTCAAAGAAATCCGACATGTTCACAACCTGCAGTCTAGCAAAGAGTGTAACACTGTTCCTGCAATCTACCAACCAAGAGGCAACTTGCATCATGAGTGACTGAGCCTCATGTTTTGATAAGCAGTGTGCAAATTCCTCAGTTGGTACTCAACAACCACCAGTAGTTTCTAGAAAACAAATGGATTAAAATAGTCTGCATTTTGTATGTTGACTAAAACCAGAAGCTAGACAGCCATCATCCATCTAGCAGCAGCTGAAGCACTGGGGTGACAAATGCAAGTTGTAATTTAGAAAGACATTTCATTAACGCCACCATGAAAAAGCGAAAAAAAATGTAACCACATTGTTGAACCAAACCCAAAATACTTCTATGCATAACACTAATAAAAAAAAAAAACAAAACACAACATTGATCACTCTGTTGGAAGTCCAGCACTGCTCTGCTCCAAGGCTATTACTCAAGAGAAGTTGATGTACCAGGCAGAGCTTCAGTGCCTGCAGAAACCTGCTTCAAGTGCTTCTCATGACATAAACCTGGCAATAACACAGTAAAAAAAACTTCAATTGTTTCTTCAACCTATTTCAACTCTTCCCAAACTGTTCCCAGCGATTTCCCCTTCCTGCCCTCTTATACCCTACCTCAGTGGAAACAGGACTAGGATTGTTTCACTACCCCAAAAAGCAAAGCTTATCGACAGCAACTTAAGTCTTTCACACATCATTTTTTAGTTCACTGCTACCTACTTTGTACTGTTCCATTGCATTTCTTCCTCTGCACTCTTGCCACTACATTCCCAAAGACCATGTCAGTATCCCCCCAAGACTTCACCTGGATGTCACTCCAGTGTACAAAAATGCCCGTCAACAGAACATGACATTTCAGAGTCATGAACTTTCATGACAAGTTCAGAGACAACTGTAAAGAGGATCACCAACTGGAAGAGCTGCATGAATACAGGAAGAACCTATGTATTTTGCTACTCTGTAAGGACAAAACAATAAGGTATTCCTACCAAACGCTGGACACTGTAGCCAAGCAATCCGAAAAGACAGCGAGAAGTAGTCAAACCACTAATCAAAACTCCCAGAAATAAGGAGACAAGACTTAGATGTGAACACTGACAGGACAATTCAGGAAAAAAAAATCAAACTTGTGTACATCAGTGCATTTTACACACTGTCTTTATTCAAAAAATTTGAATAAAACAAAGGCTTTTATGCAACAAGAACACAGGCACCACCAACTTCTTTGATCTTCTCCTCTGCTCTCCTACTGAAGAACTTCGCTTTTACAATCACAGGCTGCTTGGGCAGCTTCCCTTTGCCCAGGACTTTGTAGTAGCCCTAGAAAGATTAAAAACCCCATTAAATGCTTGTAATCAGATTGAAGGCTCCCACATTCAGACCTATCTTTTAGAATGTACTAGTTAAAACCAAAACCATGACCAACATGACCTCATTCAGAGTCTGTCTCATATAAAAATTCTATGAATGAAAGAAAAATACCCTGCATGATTTAATGGAGTTGCACTTGTTCAGAGAAATAGTGGAAACTGTAGTAAACTGAACCTTGCTTGTAACTTAGAAGCTGGATTTTAATTTCCCATACTCCACATTACACAAATACATTGCATAGAAATCACCAACTTTTCACTGCTTTTCCAAAGGAAAGAGCAGTTGGCTGCACTTCCAAGACTATCCACTACCCAATGACTTCCAGTTGGTGATCTGTAAGACATCCTGGTACCACACAAAGAGGAGAGGACTCTTCTGCACATCTTAAACGCACAGCTGAAGCTTCTGCATGTTTTTACAGCAACAGCTGTCCTCTACCACTGTAATCCTCATTTTATTCCTGTCCTTTACACTAAAAGGACAATTGTAGTACAAGGTTCACTTATACTACAGCCCTTGAAGTCATCGCTTGCTAGAAGTGGCATAATTGTTCAAGTCTCTTCATTTAGGATGCAGAAAACACCCACTTGGCAGCCTAGTTTGTGTTGCTGATTCAGTGGCTGGCTGAGACACATCACAGCCAGTGAATAGAGATCAGGCATTCATGTCCGAGAGCTATAGCACACCAAGACAATCAAACATGTTCAGATGTGACTCTAGTCTCGATGTTAGAGAAGTGACTTCACACAAAAGAGCCTAGCTCTGCAATGCTTTTAAGAACACGTTCAGTAACATTTTTAACAAGTAATTTTTCACCACCTTCCAAAAAAGGGCAGTCCCTGTCCACAGTCACACTCAACTATGAGAAAAAGTTCTTACAGTAAGAAAAGGTAACAGCATTAAGTACCTGTGGTGGACTTATATGCCATGTAACTGTCCGGAGGAGATCACAAATATTCAAGCACAGTAATTTATTTGCAGTTCAACACTCTCCTATTTGGATACACACATATTGACCAGGAATTGCAGGTATGGCTATGAGCAGAAACTTACCGAGCGCACAACATCAATGACTGGAGCCAGTCCAGCCTCATTTTTGGCATAATTGAGCCTTGTCTGTTCACTGACCAGCGTCCATAGTTTATCCAAATTGACAGTAGGACAGAACTTTTGGTTTCTCTTCAAGTGATAGTGCCTCATGCCTACTTTGCCAAAGTAACCTGGGTGACTGTGAAAGAAATAGTGCTCAACAGATCATTCTTAATTCCTCCTGAGCAGGCAGCACTACAAACTAACACTGAAGCATCTTACTTATCAAAGTAATTAACATGTCATATTATACCTCTGTATTAATAACATGCAGTATTTAAGTATAATAATCATTAGTATTGAAACCAGGGAAAAATTATCCTCTCTAGAAATGTCTATTCCCTTGAACTCACAACTCAATCCCCCTCACTAGCGAGTCTGGTCCAGTCCTGTATCTCCCAAGCAGACGGAGATTGCCCAGGGAGGGCAGCTCTGCCTGAGGGGTTTCAGCGCCCCTGTCACTAACCTGGTGACTGACTGAGTCAAGAACAGAAACAGCCAGTGAATATAGATTAGTGGTTACTATCCGAGTACTCTAGCACACCAGGACAACAGGCAGTGTCCAGATGTGACTCTAGTCTCGGCGATAAGACAACATCCCTTACCTTTACAGCACGTAGCTAAATAGGATGCCGTTTGGGTTTAACGCAACATTTTGAATTTACACAACATTTTATGTGCGTATGGTTATTTACACTGTAACAGGCAAGTCTGGTTGAACTCCTAAAGCTTGGTTTAAGTGAAAAAGACTTTGATAGGAGGGTAAATGGGGACAGGAGCTGACTGTAGCTGTAAGCCCACGTTTTATGTTACAGCTAAAAACACACTGCAGGTAATTTAACCCATTCACATAAAAATGTTAGTTTATACTTCAGGAACATACATTTTACTACTGTATTATTTAAAACGTTAGCTTACTATTTGTCAAAGTTAATCCTGTGGTGGTGCATACCACCAGCATTACCACGTCCTCCAGGATGTTTCCTATGTTTGCCTAAAAAGAAAAAATTTAATTTGTTAAACTAAGATTACACATAATACCTGAACTTTAAGTATGTTTTTCATTTCAATGCAAGCTAATTATTCTATTCCCTCTTCTGAACTAATTTCAATTCAGGAAGACAAGCCAACTAAAAGCTAACACTACAGAAGGAAAAAAAAAAAACATCCACAGCATTCCTCTGGTTAGTTTACAGAGTACAAGACACCACCAGTGCTAGCAAAAGTGGGGTGACAAGAAACGGCAGAAATGGTCTTGGAAAGGAAACAGCCCTGCCCCATATGCTTCCGATGTCGCAGAGCCAGCAGCTATCACTTGAGCACTACTGAAATTAAGTTATAAATCCAGCGAAACCTAAAAGAACGTGCGTGATTTCTGCTCAGCCCATCAGGGTGGCATCTGCCCCACGGTGAGAGCACTACCCATATATACTGCACCCACCGGTGCTGCTCACCGGTACCCGCAGCGTGCGCGACCGCCTCACCACAGCAGCATCCCCTCAGCGCCGGGGCTGCGCCGGCGACAGCCTCCTCACTCACCAACGCGGCCGTGGCCGTGGCTAACATGTCCCCTCAGCTTCCGGGTCTTCCTTAGCCTGGAAGGCTGCGGGAAAGCGGGAGAACAGCTGTGAGCAAAAAAAAGCATCAAGAGGTAGCACCACCATCCGCCCGCCCTTGGGGCCAGCGCTGCTCCGGGTCTTCTGCCCCTCGGCAGCCACGCGCCATGGCGGCCCGGGCCCGCCGCGGGAAGGCCCACGCGGCCTCACCGCCCCACTCTCCTCCGCCACACTGCGGGCAGGCCGCGGGCTCTGAGAAGCGCTTTCCTCCACCCCCGCTGCTCCCTAACCACGTCCCGCCGCGGGAGCGAGGGACGACGGCCCCGCGGACCCCTGCCCGGTCAGGCCCAGCCCTTCCCCAGCAGCACCCACCATCTTTCCGGCGTGCGAGAAAGAAGAGAGAGAGGGCGGTGCTCGCGAGAACGGGGTAAAGCGCCGCAAGAGCGGAAGTGGAGCTGAGCTCTCGCGAGGTTTCGCTCAGGTGCTTGGGGTGGGGACAAAGATTCGCGAGAGCCGTGGTGTGGGTGTGGCGTCTGGGGCTTCGGTAGGGTTTGGGCCTGCGGGGATCTCTGAGGCTGGAGGAGCCTAGAAGCGCGGCTGTCTGCCGTGCCCCGTGGCGGCAGGGTTCCCCGGCCTCCGGGGTTGCCGCCGCTCTGCCCACGGAACGGGTGCAGCTCCGAAGAGCGGCCCTGCGAGTGGCCAAAGGTAGCGGGCAGGCAGCGCCAGGTACTGCTTGGTGTTACAGCCGCAGCGTGTGCTCTCTGCCCAGTGTGGTCTGTAGCGAAAGTAGGGTCTTAAACAGAGTTTGGGAACGTTTGCAAGCTTGGTCACTTTATTAAACATCCGTAACAATGGGGAAAAAAAAAAACTACCTCCCACACTAGAGTGACAATTCCTGGGAAGCATTATTAATTCTAAAGCTTGGTTTTATTTATGTATTTTATGCTGTGAGACTTTGCCTATTTAAAGGGCATTGGATCTGTTCTTTGTCACGATTTCCTGCTCAGTTCAGTGGTGTGCTAGTAATGCTCCATCCTGGGGAACACCACTGCTTTTAACAACTTTCAGAAGGCAAAGTAACACTTCATGGTTTTGGGTGATCTAACCCTTTCAAACACAGGCCTCTGGATCGCACTAGGCCTGGTTTATATTCTTGTACATCAGCATTCTGTGGCTTTTCCTTGCCTTTGTGGGAGCTCTTCACTGCTACACTTCTTCAGCCAAAGACAATCCTTTACCCATCACTTTCTTCAGAAGAATATGTATTTCCCCATGTATTGACTAGCAGATGTTTGTAAAATGGCCAGAATCCAGCCATACAAGTGAAGTTACTCCTTCCACTCTGAAGAACTACACTAGCATTCATTCTGGAACTTACAGCATATCTTACAGTGAAAGGAATGGAAATTAACATTGGATTACACTTCCACTGAATCAAAAGCATTGATATTTTACAGGCTCTTCATAGACACTTCAGCAGCTTTTGTACGTACACGAATGTGAGGGAAGTAAGAGAAAAAGGAAACGACTTCACCTTTTTAGTGAACAATCCCTCAATTTTGTTCTATGAGGCTGATAGCAAACCAGAACCACTGTCAGGTTAGGAACTGCGCAAGCCTCAAAGCCAGTGTAACTAAAGAAGCCGCACTGCAAATGAAGAAATTTAGTGCTTGGGGTTTTAAAAGGGATCCTTAGCTAGTTTTCATTAGCTGCTTCACTTGCAAATATATTCAAGTATTTGATATTTTCTTCAGACTAAGGGAAACATTGCACAATCTCCACAGGAGTTGTGTGACCAGATCAAAGATGAATGTGGTACTCGGACAGCATTCACAGCTGTGAAGGTGGTCATGGCAAGCTCAGCACTCCCATCAGGCTGAAGGGCCTCTGCTGAAACAGAACCACCACCTGAGCAGGCTGCAGTTAAGTGCAAAGGAAAAGCAGGCTCCTGTGAAATGTTAGTGATCAGCTCATTGGAAATCAAGGGAAGGCCTGTCTGCATCCAGCTGCTTGTATTCTACTTTGATCACCTAACCAAGGTAGCACAAGACCAACCTGAAAATACCACAGTTGAGGAGCAGCATATGTGATACAGTGACAAAAATAACTTGCTGCTAAACTATTCAAATAAAAAAAAGAGATGCTTCTGTTAGGGGTACAATTACCAGAACAGGGACGTAAAATGCCTTGTCTCAGTGCAATGGAAAACATCGAATTAAACTACACATCATGAAATAGCAAACCTACTACAAGACAGGTTCATAACCATTTTATATTTTAATTGCAAATTCATTAAAAATCACAGGGAAGTTACTGGTTTTGTAACCTGCTCAACATCAGAACTGCAGAGGTTTGCAATGAATATAAACAAACAGGTATATTTACAGAGTTTATTAGAAACCATACATACATACATTAGGAAAGGACGTACTGTACCTACTCGTCGCAGCTTGCATGTCAAAGAGCTGAGATCTCCTCAGGTTTAGCAGTCTTAGTGCAGAATCGATTACAAGTAGTTTACTGACCAGAGTTCAAACCAACTGGAAGTTTTGTATTGTGAACCAAGTACCTTATTATCAAGTTACTCTGTTATTTTTCTTTTAAAATTAATTAAAATGAAAAAAAAAAAGGAGGATGGGGACACCCAAACAGACAACTCTGCCACATGAAAGCAGCCACTGTGCACGCAGCCTCTCCCACGTACCCGAGTTCATTCACTTCGCAGTATTCAGGCATCAGTGTAGCTCTCACAAACATCCCTTGAAATCAGTGGTTCTGCTGAGACAGTCAGCTGCACATAATCGGCTATTCATTTTTTGCACCAAACAACTCAGTTCATACTAAAGAAAAAGCACCTGTTATTGTCAGGAATATACAAATATTTACCACAGTTTTCCTTGCTCATTACAAAATCAGTTACAAAAGCTTACAGCACATTATGTACAAATTCTACCCAAATAGATATAGGAGCCATCATTGGGCACACTAACAGCATCGGGCACGCTAACAGCATTGGTCGTCATGTAAGGCTGCAGTCATCTCACCCTGCTCTCCTCCTGCACCAAGCTCTGCAATGCTGCAGGTGCCTCACGCAGTGCCATAAATATAGTCTTTGGATTGGCATTTCAGCAGAAAGGAGTTAGTTCTTCTTGTGCAGGAACTTCATTTTGTTTCCTAAAGAAAGCACACCATCAGTCTCCACACATACTGAGAAGCTGAGGGCAATCAAAACTTACTTAGCAAATAAGTCTAAATTTGTCATGGAATTGCTGTAGAGTAACTCTTCTTCTTAATGCCAGCAGGGACAGGCAGCTAACAGAACCTGAGTGGTCAAGTGCCTTTTCTCCACCTCTTTGGTCATGGTTTGGTTTCACTACCCCCAAATGAAAATGAAAGTGTTAACAAGGATCACAGTTAAATCTGGTTTTGTCAGCTTTAATTATGCTTTTGCTGTTTGCACATTTCCTATCACCTCAGGTAAGGCTTTATTGACTTACAAAAAAAAAAAAAAACAGATACGAAAATCCATTTCAGAAATACTTCTAAAGCTTTTCCTCACCAAGGCCTCGTAGAAACTTGTTTACTCCGCTTTGTTCCGTGTCTGGAAGCTCTTCCAAGTACTGTTCTACCCTCTGCTCGAAGAGGCCTGTGGAGGAGGGAGAAAACGAAGCTGAAGTGAGCTGCGCCGGGCTGGACCCGCTTACCCCAACCCCTTGCGCACCTCCAGCCTTTTATTTACAGAGCCCTTCACCTCCACAACACCGCCACGCGTTACCGCCCGTGAGGGGCGATCTGGTATCGTGTGGCAGAGACGTTACGTTCAGGGTAACAGATTCAAGCCAGGGGGTGAAGGCCGCTCTCGCCCGGGCGGCAGCTCGTGCCGCCGCTCCGGGCCTTGTCGGCTCCAGGCCGCCGAGCGGGATCGCCGCCGGACGGACGCCAAGAGCGCGCCTCTGCTCAGCAGCGACAGGCCGGGAGACGGGCCCGCCGCAGCAGCAACGCCGGACCGCCCCGGGCTGCGCCTCCTGCTCCCTGCCCTCGCCAAACGCGGCCCTGGCTGCAAACCCCGTTACCGCCCGGCGGCGCCGCTGGCTACCGGGGCGAGCTGGGCTGCGATCCGGGCCCGGGCTGGATTCCCGCCAGTGCCCGCGCTGCTCCGGCAGGCAGCGCTGCAGTGTCCCGGGCACGGATGGAGGGAACGGTGCGTGCGGGAGGTGGCTCCAGCCCCCGCCTTCGGTTGAGCATCAAGTGAGCGTGGCTTTAGGGGAAGCTTTCACGCCTTCCCCCCCCGGGCACTGGCAAGCGGCCTCCGGGACTGTGCCCTTCGGTGGGTGGCTCCCAGTCTCACCTCAGTGATGCAGGGCATTCGGATGTGATTGTTCTGTTGGTTAAAGCCTTTATATTACCACCACCATAGCTACTACTAAGCCACAAGAAGCAAACAGTGTGTTTCAGATTTGTCAGTTCCCCAGAATTTGCTCAGCCCTGGCAGTAGAGAGGGACACCAATCACAGCACCTGCGCACAACACAAGTAACCCACGCTGCAGGAAAGACAACCACCCTTACCTTTTGCCCTGCATTTTCTCAGCTCTCTGTCCTGGATGAAGCCAGCAAACATTTGGGATTCCATGAAAACTTCCAAGAAGCGGCGGATACTCTTGGAGGCCACAGATTTACGGAAAGCTTCCCTTTGGAAGGCACGCTCTCCTTTTTCATTCTGGGTTAGGAACAGGGAATAATGGCCAACTGTCTCCACAAAGAACCGGATAAAAACCTCTGACACTAATCCATTCAGGGTGTTACATTCTGCAAAATAAGGCAGCGATAAGACACCAAAATCAGCTGCTACCAGAGCTGTCAGCATTGTCACCCATGCAAGGCCAGGTACTGTCATCTCGGTGTTTACTGTTGTCATGCTAATAACTGGGAGCAGCTGTACCGTCTCCTTGCAGACCTGGATGTACACCAGACAGGGTAACAGCTTTATAATCAGGAGTGCAGTCTACGTAACTGGTGTTTCATAACCAAGAGTCAACGAGAGCTACAAATCCTGAGGAAACAGCCCAGAAAATTAAAAATTTTGTGAGTGTTTCATCAAAATTACACCTCGTATTTTAACGCTTGAGTACGTTTTCTTGAGATGCTTCTGAATGACTCAGAATTAAAATGTTTACTCTGGGGATAATAAGCCTTTACCAAGAACTGATCAAAAAGGGTGATGTTGTAGAATTCGGGTTTTCATCATTTCTGAGATGTTAAAGCAGTTTTACATGTGTAACACAGATGAGTAGAAATAAATTTCAAAACCTGCACAGGGGCCAGTTTCATACTTTTTTAACCACAGGCATTTAAATTCACCCAGGGTGGTTTTTATAATTGCTGGAGAGAAATATGAACCTTCAGAGGCAACTCAGCCCCTCTTGCAGTGAAACTGTGTTTTGGAGGTACCTGCTTCTCTCCCCTGAAAATACCAAGCGCCAAGAGCAACTCCAAACTCAGACACACCCCAAGCATGTACAGTTATCTGGATTGAATTAGGGCCAAGTTAACTGCAAAGCTCTATTTGAGTCGAGGTTTAGAAGTATGTCATTTACAAAGAAATTAAAATAGGTAGCTGACTGTATTACTGTGGGTTGATGCTATCAGTCTTATTCCCTGTGTGTTCAGAGACCATCTTTGATGTTGCTAAAGGTATCTGAATACTAAAGCCTTGTCTTTCTCATGGATAGAAGGTCTCAATACTATCTACATGCTTGTCTATACAAATCCCTGTTTACAAATGAACTTACCATCATCTGAATCACTATCTGAATCCTGATTTATCAGTTCATTCTTTCTCTCTAGAGCCTGCTCCAGAGCAGCTTGCAGTTTTCTAGGTAATAGCGTGTCTTCATCATCCATCTGACAGAGGAAAAAAATAATCTTTAGATCACGTTGATCTGTGCAGCAACTACAGCAAATACTTTTGCAAGGTTTAAAATTCAGAAGAAGAGTGTTTTGTATCTGCTACTGTCATGGTACATAAACAAAACAGTGAAAATCTTTGTGCAACCATCATATACTTCTAAACAAAATTTCTTGTCACTCTTACTGAGATTAAAGCCAGGAAAAATAATCCAAAGAGCAACGTAAACATATAGAAACTTGGAACCAGCTCTTTACATGACAGAGTCCAAATCAGTGTTTTTAACTAAATACACATAGTCAATACCTAGGTATGTGTACACACAGCTGCTCTAGTTGGGGTTAGGCAGCTTCTTTGGTTCTTGACAGTTGTTTTTACTTACATTCTAGTATATCTTGTTTTCTGAGTTTCCCCCTGTTGCTCTCTTCATCTTTTTTAATGCTTGTTCAGCAAAAGTAAGCAGACATAAGAATTTTAGCTCTGCAACCACTGTTCACCAGCCATACATCCAGGGACTCATACAAGAAAGTTTATTCATCTAACCTGCATATAGTTATTTCTGAAACTATTTAGCACCACACTGCTATCAAGAGATAGTGCTATCAAGAAATCCTTCATCTCCCTACAAGGCTCCGGCTTTTTCTACCACATTAATCTTTACCTTTTCTCACTCAGAAACTTTTCTTTGCAATTTTTGTCCTTTTCACCTCCAACAGTGTGAGTTTTCTTGCTAACATGAAATTACAATCTTTGGATGTTTTCTTTGCAATGTGAATACAGTTCTTGATTTCTTCTGACAGTCATAGCCTCAATCCCTTTTTCATACCTGAGAAGTACTTATTTGCAGGTGAAACAGAAAGAGAGCACCTTTTTCTTTTTCCTCTAATCTCTTTCCCACTGCACAATTCCAGCCAAATATCTCTAACCAAAGAAACCTAGTCATACTATAGGAGTAAACAGGTTACTAGACAGCATGGCAACATTTTGATCTGTACTTTACCTGTCTGATGAATCGATCAGATCCCAGGTTAACCATCAAAGCCTACGGAAAAGAAAATACTGTAGTGAAATATATCTGAAGAGACAAAAAACATTCATTTGTGTTTGCCTTTTAATAGAGAAAGATCATCTGAACAATCCCAAGCCTCAACATGAATCGAAATTCCTACTGTGAAACAACAGGTTTTGTGCTTTATAAAACAAGAAGATGAAGTTTTTCTTTAGAGCTTAAAGTCTAATTTAACATAGTCAGATGCAAAATATCTCATACCAGGTTAATATGTAAAAATCTAAAAGAGTTGGGCAGTTTTCTTTAAACCTAAGCAAGTTACTGCTAATCACTTTTAATGTGCAAGTGAAAAGTTTTAGAGAAGTTTAAAGAAAACCACGTTACTTGAGGCAGCAGGGCTTCTGAAAAGCAAGAGTGTGAAATATTAATGATCATGAAGCAGCAAAGCTGAGAGACGGAGCTGGGATGATGTGGAAGAGCAATGTTGGGAAAGTGGGAGGAAAACAGAGAAGATATTTACATGGGCCAGAGGCACAGAGAATCTTGAAAGCAAGCACAAGAAAAGAAAAGTTCATTAAAAAAATAACAGAAACTAATCGGAGTAAGAGAGAAGAGTGGGACCTTGAGTGTTTTTGTGATGTTTTACTGGAAGAGCTGATGAACTGGAACTCTCGTTTGATTTCCAATACAGTATTAACAAAGAAAAAAAAAAAAGCCTTAAAGGTTTGATTTTCTGTGCTGGCTATGGCTTCATGCTCAAGTTCTGTCAGCATCAATAGGTGTCATAGCAGGTGGCACTCCACATCTTCCTCCTCTTGTTCCAGATACAACAAAATCAGAACAAATCAGCATATTTATACTGTACTTACTTGCTGACCAGGTTAACATTCACTTCCCTCTGTCAGGGTGCACATCTTCTGCATGTGAAGAGGGGCAGAGTAAAGAGAAGACTAAAGCTACCCCTGCAGTTTTACCAAGGCGCAGTTGCCCATAAGAATTAAGCAGAGAAGGAACATTAAAAATGAAAACCTGTGAGAGTTTATGTGTGAATGGCAGGCCCTCTCCAGGGTGGGACAGCTTTAGTTCAGGAACACAATTCTGGTGCCAGCTCCTACCTCCTCTACAGGCAGCTCCTTCAGTTTGGGCAGAGAGCTGGAGAGCAGACCCACCAGGAAGGGGGTAGGGCAGCACACGATGTCAATCATGGATGAGGGCAGGACAGGAATGAAGGTGTGCTGCCAGGAGAAAGGGTACAGCAGGGCCACCACGGCATGCGAGCAGCTCGAGAGGGTGCTGGAAAGGCAGGAACAACCAGGTTAGCAGATGTCTAGAACAGCTACCACCTGCTGGGAAACAGCATGTTAAAATGCAAGTGCCCGAGGGGCCACCCTTCTATCACTTCTGACGGCCCAGGTCCCCTTCTGGACCCCGCGACTTCTGTACTGTGCAGCGTGATAGTTCCTCCTGTGCTCACTCTAGGTGATTTGAAACTAAAAGTAAAAAACTAGACTCAGTTTGTTTCATTATAACAGTCAGGAGACACTTTGATCTAGAAGACAAGGCTTAATGTTCCCAAAAGCACTCAACAGCAGTCTTGAATGATGCTTAAAATCCAAAAGCAACTTCCGTTCATGGCTGTTATGACCATGCCAGTAATAAAAACGCATGATTCTGAAGTTCTTATGTCGAGTACTAATGCACAAACAAGGGAAAATGAAAACTTTTTTAAAAATAGAATACGTTTGGAAATACAATATTAAAAGAATCTTCTACTAAATCAGATGTAGCCCAAGCCCCCCAACAATCAATACCTATGCAAAGGAAGTGTAGTAAAAGCAACACATTTTTCGAAGTTGGTATATTTTTGTGACAACTGCATATTTTTATTATAATACATCTTATTTGGCTTACTGACCAGTTCTAGTGATAAAGGTATTAACCCTGCTCAGTACTGTAAAATACTCATTGGTATCATCTAAACATTAAGACTTGATAACATTTGTGGAAAATGTCTTGCATGCATTGTTCTTTCACCTAGTGAATCTGATTCCCTTCTACAGTCACGTTTTCCAAATGTTAAAGGAACACCATTACCGAGCTAGTTTTAGTATCAGGGGAATAAGACAGGCTCTCCATTTCAGAGCTTTGATTTTGGACTGAGTTCCAACATCTGCTTCTTGCAGCTGAGGATGACAGAAATTTGGATTTTTACCCAGCCTAGCATGACTGAGCTAATTTTCTCAGAGTGCAAACTTCTGCTGTGCTTAGGGTAGCCACCCTAAGAACTATAAATAACTGATAACTTCAGAGCCGTTACTGCTCTAGAATGCTGGGGAGAAATCCTGATTTCTTCTACTGCAAAACTTGTTGGAGACTTTAGGTGGCGTCAGACCTCCACCGGAATAACCCTCAGGAGCATTTTTAGTTGAATATTCCGAGGGCAAGGGAAAGGTTTCATCTGTTTGTTCCAGTCAGTGATTAACCTTTGAAGTTTGCTGAATGGGAAAAGTGAGAATTAGACGATAAAGAAAGAAAAGGCTGAGGAAGAGCAAATGCTAGTCTTTTACTGCAAATAATCTGTTGGGCTGGTTTTACTTGACTTTTCCTTTAGTATCTGTCAATCACAGCAGGTTTTTATAACATATGTCGCCTGACACAGGTTTCTTGTAAAATGATGCATATCTCTTATCTTTTTTTTTTTTTTTTTTCATAGCAGGCAACAGTGCTGCCATTGCTTCATGTTTTGATCTCAAGTGTTTACCATAGCAAACAGGGTGGTGTGTTTCAGAAATGCTGTGCCGCACGGTACAGACTCCCAGCATTTTCTCAAGCTCACTCTAATGACTCTGTGGCATTTTCAACTACTACAAATTCAGTCAGCTAGGCAACTAAAAAAGGAGCTTAAGCTAAAAGCAGGAACACAAACATTCTTCTGATATTCAGTTAGTATTTTTTTCCTTTCTATAGAATGCCCTTTTATAATTTGTTGTTTTACACGCAGTGCTGTGACGTAAATCAGCCCCTGCATCCTCTTCTGCATGCTATTCCCACGCTAGGGGATGCTTCAGGCTCCCATCCAGAACACTGGTTTCTCTTCCAGAGCTTTCCCGGGAGCTGGCAGGGGCAAAACAGCAGCTGAACGCAGCAAGTGGCCATAGGGGTTGTCCTGCAGCAGCACCCTTCTCTGCTCTGCCAGCATCCCCCAGGTCACACTGACACCTTTGTCAGCATTGTGACCTCTGCATTTTGAGGTTCTACACACAGTTTTTCAAACCTCTGCCTCAGAAAGTCTTTCCCTGTGGGACGTCTCATGCTGACCCCCATGAAATACCTGCTCCGAAATTTCCATCCACAGGTTGCTGGCTGCCCTCCCTCCTGGACACTGCTTGAGCAGAGGGCAGCGGGAGTACCACACACAGTTACCAAACTGCTGCTTGTACAAAGTGGCTGTGTCTCTTCTGTAGCTGGAAACACTCATTTTGTTACGAGCATAACTAAAAAAGAAAAAATAAATGGACCATGGCAGTGTTCAAGGCCAGGTAGGATGGAGCTTTGGGCAACCTGGTCTAGTGGAAGGTGTCTCTGCCTGTGGCAGGGGGTTTGGAAGTGGATGATCTTTAAGATCCCTTCCAACCCAAACCAGTCCATAATTCTATGAACACACATCTTTGACTTCAGTGTAAGGTTTTTGCATTCATAAATCCCTAAAATACGGTTCAGATTCTTCTAAAAGAGAAGCAAATTGAAAAAGAAAGCCCTACCCTGGGAAACCAAGTCCGCTCTAGTTTTTCCTTTCAAGACATGCAACCCACACATTGTCCCACTGTTCTTGTTTATGAGAAATAAAGTCAAATGGTTTGTATTCTTTAAGGTGTGTGAAGCACGCTAAGTAAAGGAACAGAATAGTCAAAGAAATAAGATTTTCAAAATAGTTTTAATACTCTAAGGCAGTTTTGGTGATCCATGGGGCTGGTTTTGAGAGTGGGCTTTTTCATTTGGTCTGTGCAGCTTCACAGGAACACTGTTTAATACTCTAGCTGTTGTTCTACTGGAAAATGCTTCTTATATTACCCATATGCAGGTAAGTTTATACATGGGCACAAGAAACCAAACCATTGCATGAGTCAACACTAATGAGCAGCATAAACCACCACATCCTTCAGAGGGGAAGCACTGCCGCAGTCATGCACAAGTAGGAGACATGCTATGATGTTCCCAAGGCTGGAGTACTCCAGAAATGTAGACTGCTGTACTGGCCTGTGTCTCTGCAGAGCTGCTGAAGGGAAAAATCAGCCTTCTGCTTAAACCCAGCACATCCCTCTGCTCTGTCAACTACAGGCTGTCCTGCGCGCACGTGTAACTGTACACGTGGAATAAGTCTACTAACAGTAATTGACTGTGAAAAAGTGACTGTGCTTGCACATTTTGTGGGATAAGGGAATTTTCTCATGTGCAGATATGTAAGGCTATTATCTAGCCCTATGACATAGCCCATGCCACTGAACTCACCCCATTAAGCCTGTACTCATCCCAATAATTTGCACTCCACTAAAGCAAAATTAGTGAACAATTTGTAGGAAAATACACAGTAGCAATCCATTTCAAAACACAGGCAATCCTCCACTCCTCCTTCTGCTTTTTTTTTTTTTCCCATGGGTATCATCTTGTTAAAAATTATTTGGAATTTGCCCAGGTTTTGGTTATTCCTGTGCCTTTTATTCACTAAATTTAAAAAACCTTCAGTGCTTGATCTTTTCCTCATGAAAGTATTTATATGAGATTATACAGTCTTATTGAGACATTCTTAATCACAAATTTCTCTTGAAGAAGAAATCCTGTATCATGTTACAGATGAAAGATGACAATGCTTCTTTCCCACTCAAAGTTGCTCTTATCTTCCTCTGGGCTATTTTGTTTCCCAAATCATTTTCTCATGACAGCACACAGAAACCTTTCCTTGTTGTGTACTTGGCTGTGGAGATACAAGGCTCACAGCAAGAGCCGAGGCACAGGAATTTCAGACATCACCATGACTCAGCTGAATTGTGGAGACTGCTTGTGAACATGGTTTAGGCCCACGGCAAAAGCATATTAATGACTTAAGAACATTTACTGTCTTTTAGATAAGGGGATGCCTGCTATCAATTTCTGGGTCAGTCAACCAACAAATAACCCCAAGTCCAGGCTATTTTAATATCTAATCACAGCACAACTACCATGCTCTGAGAAACACACGTTCTTCTCTGTTGAACAGTGGATGGACACTGCCCTGGCTAGAGGGAGCACTGCTGATGAAATGCTAGCCCTGGATGTGTGTGTGTCAGAGGACCATAGCTTGTTGCATACTGGAAGTCACCAGCTCTCACGAAATGTTAAGCATATTCAGCTATTCGTACTATTCACATTGGAAATATTCCACAGATACAACTTGATAACTCTCCTTTCCCTATAACAATAGCCAAAAGTTGTGTTCCTTCTCACTTTCCCCCTCTACCACCTACAATTTCTCACTGATGCAGGGGAGCATCACACACTGAGCATCTCCTAAATGCAGGAATAAGCCTCTAGCATAGACAGTCACTTGTTGTCAGGGCTCCCTGATCCTATCTTGTTACTCTCATGCACCTTCACAGTCATTTTACATTTGCATTGAGGGAGGGGAAGGTGAGAATATCATCCTCTCCTAAGGGACAGGCACGCTTACTCAGCCTGGAGAGAGAGGGAGCACCACCCCTTAGGTGTAGGGCCAAGCCACACAGCAGCTCCATCACCCCAGGGCCAGTGCCAGCTCTGTGCTATGCCAATATTCTGGACCATGCACAGGACTGAGACCAGTTGTCAGAATCTGGTCCCTCTGCTTCCTCAAATGGAGAAATGCAGCCAAAAATGTAGATTCACAATGAAGTGTTTCCACTGCCTGTGTTTACTTTTCCACAACCTTTTCATGTTTCTCATTTCTCCCTGCTGATTTAATTATGTTACTCTGTCCACATTTGCTGAACTCTTTCATCTGCTGTGTTAACACATACATGCTCCAGCTCACAACTGCTCTGTGACCAAGTTATATCCCTGACCCACATCCTCTCCTCTGCTCAGGACAGCTTCCTCTCACTTGAGGTTAGAGTCTGGAGGCTCAATCTTTCCCAGGTGCAACACATCGACTCAGGTGGGTATTACACACCCATGTGCCTTGTCACAGGCCACTGGTGTGCTCTTGAGAGAGCTCCTACCGTTGTGCTATTGCTGAAATGTGTAGCAAAACCAGACACTTCTCTCCTATACCCTTCACTGCC